GCAAGTGAATCATGGCATCCTGGTTTAGGGGTTTCGGGTTTAGTAGTTTAGGATTCAGAGTTCGGGGTTGAGGGGCATGAGTGCATCATGGCATCCTGGTTCAGGGTGTTTGTGCTTCAAAGCCTTCGTGAGTCGTGGCATCCTAGCCCATTCTCAGTGGGGCTTTACAGGGTTGTGCAGGGCTTTACAGGCTTTGATAAGGGCTTATAGGCGTTTAGTATAGCAGCCGGAATATTCATAATCGGGCCTGGAGATGCTTGGAGTATATTGTAGCATACATCTACACTGGTCGTCAGAGGATCAGAGGATGCTATCATCAATTCTTCCGACCTCTATATACATTTGGCAGGGTCGAAAAGCCCCGTGAATACAGGGCTCGTCGCAAGATGTACTGCATGTATACCCTTAGGGATCGGGCCTGAATCAGAAGAAGGCTTCGGGGGAGGTATATTGAGAATCCGTAAACCCCGGACCCAAAACGAAAGCACTGCACAGAGTCATCCAATCCAGGCACCTGATCCCTTTTTGCAACCAGGCACCTGATCCTCAAACCCTAAACCCACCAAGGCACCTGATCTCCAAACAGGGGCATGTCATCGTGGCAGAGCCGGAAGGCCCGCTCCAAGAATGCCTTTAGGTGTTGGGGTTTCGCGACGGGATAGACCGAGCACACAATGAACAACTTAATCTAGGGAGCTGCTAACGAGGGTGCCCTTCATCCCCTGAGATCCTACGTCTACCAGTACCTAATTAAGGACTTCAGTCGCTACTGACAGGCAAATCACTCCTGGGGGAGGCAGGTAAGTAGAGTTCAGGGTTTAGACAATCGGTTTCAAATCGAGGCCACCTTATTCAGGGCGTTGTACTCGGGGTTCTTTATTACAGACACGCTTTACTGTTCAGGGTTTCTTGACGTGTCAAGTTTCAGAAGTGCCAAACCTTCAAGAACATGAGACCATACCGTTTTTGAGGGGAAGCACTCGCAAAAAAATGCACTCAACACTAGCATCGGATTCCCAAAAGCACCCGACCTAGCCCAAACCTCACTTAAGCAAGCGCTAGGCTGAGCTTCTCCCAAGCCCCGAACCCCATAAAGCAGCAACAACAACAATCCAATCCTGGACCTCGACCCGCAAGCCCGGAGATTTAAACCCTGAGCCCTGAAATTGAGATGAACCCCAAACCCTCAACCCTTAACCCCCCCCAAACCCTAAACCCTGAACCCCACAATCCTAAACCTTATAATCCCTAAGCCTTACAAACCCTAAACCCTTAACCCCCCCCCCGACCCTAAACCCTGAACCCCACAAACCCTAAACCCCAAACCCCTGTTCTTACAGGGTGGCAATGCTCCATTCGCTTCTGCGGATCAACCAGTTCGCCGAGCTCAGGCCCCACCCTGACAGTCCCAACGGTTTGCCTAGGGTATAGGGCTTATAGGGTTTAGGGTTTTGGGGGGTTTGGGTTTGGGGTTTAGGGTTTAGGGTGCAGCGTGTTTAGTGTCACGAATCATGTCTAGCGCTTTTGGGCGTTTATCTCTTCGGGCATCCCGTCCTTGTGACTGATGCGGATGCGTGTGCAAAATAGAGGGGCCTCAATACTTAGAATAGGATTCGGGGTGTGTTAGATTTGATTACGGTGTTAGCGGGACTATGTGGACATATTGCAAAACAATATATCCACCACTATAGTATGTAGGAGTGGAGGTATGCAGATATGCTCTCATGCGCAGACTGCGTGTACATTTACCCTCCGAGCAGGACGCATGCTTCCCTTTGCTTCTAAGAGCAACACAATGACTAGTGACGACAGGCAGTGGACCATGCGCATAAACTTGCTTGTCCAGTATCCTGGGAATTAAAAATGTAATCCAATGCTAAATCGACATTCAATGCTTGCTTGCCGTAGTCAGCTTTGGCTTACCTGCCCCTGATATTGAACTTCTGGCTACTGCAGCGGTCGTAGTAAGCAACAATGGAAATATTGTTCTCGTGGCAGATTATGCTATAACTATATATACATTATAGGAAGGAACAGTCAAAAATACGAGTGGTCATGGTTCAGGCTTCTGCTTTTTCCTCGTTGCCTTACCTGCCTCTTGGAGTCAATTGCCTCTGCCTGCGCCAAGCATAATACGACTGACCGACCTCGTGAGCCTAGCCCATCTTCACACACAGCTGCCGGCCATACTGTCCCTTAGCAGGACGCTGACTATGAAGAACACCAGCAAGGCGAATGCCAAAGACAAAACTGTGCTTCATCCACAAGATTTGGTTTTAGTTTAGGCTTTAGGGTTTATGTTGTCTTCAGTTGAAAGATTCCAGATCTGTCTTGTCTGCATCAGCCGCATCCTGCTAAGGACCTATAAGGGACGCACGAGAAGATGTTGAACAGTCGAAAAGGACCCGAGTGCCGTACGGCACCCTTGTGCTACCCTCATAATACCCTTACAGTACCCTGTCAGTACTCTTCCAGCGCCCTTATGGCACTGATGATGGTACCCTTATCGTGCCCTTATAATAGTACTGTTACGGTATTCCTATGGCAGCAAAAGACTCCGCACCTTCCTCCGTGATCAGCAAGTCAACCCCCTCGCGGGGCTCCCGTGGAGCCTCGGCGAGTTCTGCAGCTGAGAATGCGACGACGGTTGGGTTTTGGGCCACCTATGGATCTACATAGGGCTGTAGTGTGTGTGTATATATACACACACATACATAATATACATATGTATACGTATACGTATGGGTATATGTACATATGTATACTAATGTGTACACGTGTGTGTGTATATAAAAAATAATTACACAAATTGATATATATATATATGTATATACATATATATATATATATGAATGTATATGATGGGGCCTAAGGTTTAGGGGAAGGATGAAAGCTCCTCAAACGAGCTGTTTCAGGCTGCGGCATCCACGGAATCATCGTTGCCCTCCGGACGAGATGCCATTCCACAGTTGCTCAGGGTTTTTCAGGGTTTGGGATTGTGGCACCCCCGTCCTCCTGAACCGAGCTATCTGTCTGAGTCTTAGTAGAGGGCTCAGAGCGACGGCTTCATGATGTTGCATGGACACTATGGTACTGATCTTGCCCATGTCACTACCTTGTCGTTATCATTGCCGGTGTTCCTGCATTCTTCTGCACGGGTCTTGGCTGGTCTTGCTTCAACTGCAGTTGCTGCTGTTCAGCTAGTAGTCTCGTTCCCGGTATTGCAAGTGCTTGGAAGGCAGCAGCTAACATAGGGGCAGAACAATGACTAAAATTTGGTCGTGAAGGGGACTCAGCTTGGGTTTTCGGGTCAAGAGTAATACACTGGAAGCGACCACCTGCCACTTCTGTGAAGTTCGGATGTTGCGGGAATTGGTCGCAGGAGAAGGATGCCCACGCTGTGAACAAAGAAGGACTCGATACGGTTCGCCGACCCAAGATCTTGATGCACTTTCAAAACTCCTTAGAAGAAGCTGACAGAACAAACCAACCCACCAAAAATCTTAAGCAGGTCCGTCCCCGTGCATCCTAAGTATATAGCAGCACTTCTCCATATCAACACCTACTTTAGGTAGAGAACCCCAATGCTTACGTATCATCCTCAAGGCTGCACATGGAGGGAAACCCGACATTCCCCTTTGAACCCCTAAACCCTACCCATAGGCCCCTAAGTAGTTCCTTTTTGGGCTTCCCTTATAGGATTCTAAAAATAAACCACAAAAAGGAACTACTTAGGGGCCTATGGGTAAACACCGCAAGTCAGTGATGGAGGCCTCTCCTGCGAGAGCGCACTGCAACCTGGGATGACGACGAGCTACTTCGAGCTCGGGCGGAATCAAGTCAGACTTCACAGAGCTCAAGTCTGCTAGTAGGTGTCCCAACCACTTAAGTTGCAAGGACTGCTAGAACGTGCAATCGCTAGGCCTGAAACCTAAAAAAGCAGCGGGGCTTTGAAAAGGCAAGCTGCGAGCATCCGTGGCGAGCCGCTGCTGTCACATGACCCGCATGAAGTGTCGGGGTGACGTCCTGAGAATGTGGGAATGTGGGACAATTTAAACAATAGGATCTTGAGTATAAAGAAGACTGACTAAGGTCCTTCCTAAAGAAGCCAGAAAGTTGGAAAATCATTGTGCACATGATCTCCCTCATTGCAAAGTATAGGGAATGTCCGCACTAACCATCCTAAATCCATGTTCCAAATTTCTGGGATCACTATAAATTCTGTCCCATGGCCAACTGCCGCCGCAGTTCATTGATCTAAGCCAAACCTTTCTCCAGGAGCAGGCCCAAAAGTTGTCTGCTGACACCAGGAGGCCAGACTCCCCAAGAAGGCAGTGTTGTCCCGGACCCGGAAACCGGATGCAGGTTCAAGAAGATGAGGACCCCTTCATGACGGAAAACAAATGCATGAATGATGAGTGTAAATGACAATGCAGACAATGCATACTGACGGCGACGACGACACCACTACTGGCAACTTTGTGATTCTGACTTCTCTGCCCGTAAACCCGACACTCCAAGCTGCTTGCCGCTGTCTCTCGGAATGTATTCTGATTCTGCTATTGGGGAGTTTCAGACATTGGGCTGCCATTCTACCCTATATAAACCCTAAACAACCGTAGATCTCCCGAAGCAGAGGGGTCCCGTGACTGAAATCATCTGAATCCCTATTTCTGCATCCAACAGCAGAAAGAGCTGAACAAGGCAGGCTGAGGCACAGTTCCTGTTTTCCTTACGATGGAAACCAAAAACATTATCTGCAATTGGGAATACTGTTCCTCGGGGTTCCAAATCAAAAACTAATGTAGTATACCCCAAAACCCTATTCTAAGGTCTACGGTGCCTATACTACTGGATTAACCTCGGTTGAGGTACCACCCTTTGAACGTCGGAGTTCCCACGAGGCCCGAAATTGCTTCCAAGAAGGACCCCCAGAAGGGGATCCCTGAATTTGACAACCATCATCTCCGTGCACCTCTTCGCTGGTGCGGACAAGACGCGAAGACCTGCTGAGCTGACTGCGATGGATCTGACATTCTTAGGATTTTAGGGGTTTTTAGGCCTGGCAGTTTGGAGCTCTCAGTCGTTTCAATTAATGTTCCGGGGGGTTCACCAACCAGCAAAAGAATCAGAAAATGACAGAACTTCAGCCACAAAGCCAGGTAAGAGTCGTCCTCGAAGTCCAGGCATTCGTTGATTTCCCAGTGGCATTGCCCTCTCTTTTTGCCAATCTGGGAAAGAGAAGGCTATGGATTTTCCTACAGCTCAGTCCCCAGATTTCCAGCTTAGGGCTTAAGAGTTTGAGGTGTAGGGTTTATGAGGCTTGATAAAGACTCTCTAAGAGCCCCTAGCTCAGAGGACAGCCAGGATTTAGCAGGTTTTTCCCTCCCATTTTGGGGGCAAGAGACTTTGGGGTTTAGGGCCGTTTAGGGTTTCAGGCTTAGTGTTGCATCGCGTTTTTGTAGGCTCGGGACTCCGAAACACCAAAACCCCAACTTCTTAAGACCCTCGAACCCTCCAGCATGCTAGGGTTTCTCTGTCCTACCCACTCGGGGGCTTACAGGTACAGGAGTGATTGATTAATTTTTTGAAGTTGGTAGCGGCTTGGACCCAGGTTCCTTACGCACCCCGTCCCCTCCCCTGGCTCAACATGCCCTCGACGATGAGTTCTTCTCCCGTCAGACGCGGCGGGCCATAGCTAGTCCTCTATGCGTTACATTGGCAAGAGATGTTGCGAGTCCGGGTTTGTGCATCTTAATCTCCATTGCAGCAGAGAGACCCCGTAGGCGACGAACTGACACTCGGGCACTTCGCGACAGAGCTGAAGACAAAGAGGAAGAGACACTGATATACCTGAGCTTCTGGTCTTCTACGTCCCCCCAAGCAGTTCAGAGCATGAGCATATCGTTCATGCACAACACCAGGACCAAACAAATGCAGGTCGTTGCTGCTTTCTGTGGTGACGCCTCAACAGCCAGAGCAAGCTTCAGTATTATAACACGTGCCGAGTGGAAGCCGGCACTGCGCAGCTTCAAGAAGCAAGCCTGTGAACAGATTCCTTGGCGTTAACCTTTGAAAGCGCCTCAGCCCATTCCTCCTTCAATGTTGTGTACTGCCTAAAAAATCCTTTAACTCTAAACAAGAAGAGGCCCTCATCTCTCCAAGACAAGGCTCCGAGAAGTACGTCTGAGCCATCGCATTCGGCAGCTCTCCTGCTAAAGTAAGGTATCCAGCCAAACCAAACGCGATGCGGCTCACTAGGTCCGTATGGGGGCATCTATCAGGGTTAATTGAACCAGGGTCTCTTCAGGCTTACAAAGATTCTTCAAAGTGTTTCTCTTCGGGTTTACATCGCTTAAGATTTTGACACTTGCGACAAGGCAGGCGCTGGAGGTTTTGGGGCTTAGAGCTTGTTTGCAACTCCAGGGGTCTCGAGCCTATAAACCCCAAACGCTAGTTTGGGGTTTCTAAGACTTTGCTACCGGAGCCTTCTCTTCTGTACCTGGCTTATCTCCCCCTATGCTTGATGATGCAGGCAGACTCCGGGTTGATGCGCCATCAGTATACTATGGTAGTAATGTGGTGGCCTTAATCATTAGAATAGGGTTTTGGGGTACATTTACGGTGTAACTATAATAAGGAACCCCAAAATAGTCTTGGTACATATTTAGGCCCTATATAGTACCATGGTAGTGAACCTTTCTGTTTGGCCTTCGGAGAGCTGCAGGAGCTGCACGGTACGAACGCGGCCACTCGTCCAGCCTGGATGAACGGCAAGAGCCGATGAATAAAGAAGGGGGGCCTTAACCCCTAAACCCTTTTAGCTAGTCATTCGCTGTTCCCCTACATACAGTACCTATAATGTATAAAGTTACACCATGGAATGTTCTCCACCGGGACTCTATATGTTTCCTATGCAAGCGGCTCAAGTTCGGCCATGTCCTAAGGCAGGAAATGCACCCAGATTAACACCAAAACTATTAGTATGTACATATGTATGTATATATATATATATACATATATATATATATACATGTATATATATATATATATATAGCTGTACAGTATTTGCCGTCTGCCGTATGTGTGTATATATATACACACAGATAGATAGTGTATATTTGCAGGGAACGAAAAAAAAGCTGTCATGAGGAATGCAGGCCATAACAAAAAACCTGCCCAGACCCTCTACAGGCTTGATGTCTCAAGAACAAGTGCACTCAAGGGTTTGGGTTTAGGGTTGTCAGGGTTGCCGTAAAGGTTACTATAAGGGGTTGTATGCTAGCTCCAACAGCCGTAGCATGAGATCTAGCGCACAGTCGCGGTGACAGCCGCCGCCGGCCCAGAGCTTCCGAAAGCATGACATTCTATTATATTATATTGTGTTATATTATATTATCTTATATATTATATTATATTATATTATATTGTATTGTATTATATTATATATAACATCACTTCTTCAACCCTCTCCCTACAACAGAAAAGAAACCCGAAACCAAAACTCATTGACTCGAGAGCCTACACCGCAATACCCGACAAACCCACATGCTTCCGTCTCCCGGCAGTCTTCGGGTCGAGGGTTCTCCATGATTGAGAGTGACCACTCAAGCTCCGCAACCCTCCCTCAAGCCCTGAGCTCGTGAACTCAACTTATAAGACTGCAAGACTCCAAAACCACTACGCCGCCAGGCCCTAAATGGCCTTATAAACCCTACTTCCCAGGCTGGTCCTTTTGAAGCGTGCGCTGCACCGGAGCTCTGACTCGCATCTTCAGGTTTCGGGTTGGTCCGGAGCACCGGGATACCTGAAAACCATGGTGTTGAGCCCAAACCTTGAAGAAGCCATGTAGCAACTTGGCTTCTGAATGGAGGAATATGTAGGTTGCCTTAACTCCTGTGCCCGTGTTCCGGCTGTGAAGCCGACGGCCTGCACCGGCATAGTAAACGGTTCCTAGGATCTTTGCTCCCGCGTGCACAAATTCCATGATCGCCGAACTTTTGGAGTCGCTGCTTTTGACAAGGCCGGCGTGGTGACTGTCGCCGCGGGAAGTTTTGACAGCGTCGTCTTCCTCTCCAAAGGTCAGCACCAACATTCCCACGATCATACCCCCGATGCAGAAGAAGTACCCAAGGAGTTTCCACCAGGGCTCTCCATCCAGTTCCCGCAGCACGATCACAGCGGACAAGCTGTTTGTCAGTATGCTTGAGCCTTGGAACACTGTGACGATGAACAAAGCCTCGTATTTCCGCAGAGCCCTTTGCATGTAAGGCACATTTGCAATGGCGAAGAAGGCTGCGCCAGCCGAAATTAACCACGGGAGCCAGTTGCCCCAAGTTTTGCCACAGGAGCCGTTGAAACAATCTTTCAAAAAGACTGCAGCCAAACCTGAGTGAACTGCTTTGGAGGACTTTTCTGGATTTCCCCTCTCTCTCCCTCCATCCCAGGGGCCTGCTTCCAGGTGCTGATACAGGGGGATGAATAGGGGGATTATAGCTAGAATTATGTCTTGGGGGGTACTCTAGTATGATTGCACTTTGGATCCTTAGATTCCTTAGATACGATTAAATATTGCTTATGTTTCAGGCTTCCCTATTAGCCGCAAAAGCTTTGGGGATGCTAGGAGGTCTGCTGTGTTAACTTGGCTCCAAGGTGCGGGTGCACCACATGTTGCCTGCGAGCGATCCAGAAATCGCTCCGAGGCAAAAGCCCCGGATCGCAGAACCATGTGGACAGCATGCAAGCACTCGCACATTAATAGTTAGCCACAAAACAAACACGATACCGTATGCCGTAACGCGCCATTGAAGCAACACCTCCTGAGCCCGCTCAAGCGTCCATCTCTCCGTCTGCGTCTCTTTATTGAAAAAGACGGATAGAGTTGCGGTCACAAAGACGACACCTATCCCAATGCATCGACAACGCGTCACCTGTTCGCCGAGCGTGATCGGAGCCACCCTGACAAGAAGCTTCTTTGCGGAACTCGCGCTAAACAGTGGGGCCGGAATTTGGGAACTGTCCTGGGGAAGGTGCATCTACGAATAGAGGCCAAGCTGCAAGGAATTGGCAATAATGTTAAAGCCGGTAAACGGGGAGATAATGGAGGCCGGTGCAAAGGCATAGCCCGATACATCAAGGGCTGGTCCGAGGGCGAGGTTGAGAAACACTCCCGCAGCAATGCAAAGTTCGCCTGATGCCAGTCGGGGCAGGTTGTGCAAGGCCACATGCAGCAATCTGCAACATACATCCAACATGAACTTAATTGCTATTCCCCTGCCGAAATAGCATGCCAGCCTTCTGCGATGTGTCCTGACTGGCTCTTGAGCTCCGACTTGCGGATCAAATGCATTCTGCAAGTGCCCGCTGCAAGCCCGGCCAGAACCAGGCCCACACCAACAAGCCACATGGCTTCAAGGCGCTGTCTACAACTGCAAGCGCTGCAACCACCTAAAACAGGGCGTTAATAGTTAGAGTAGGTTCCTAGGTACTTTACAGCATACTTTTTCGGGAACCTGAGGGGATAATGCTGCTGACTATTCAGGCTTCTATAGTGGTGTGTAGTTTGTGGCGGCTTCGCACAGGTGTGGCACAATGGCGGAATGTGCCAGGTCCACGTTCCCGACGACGCGTTCAGCAACAGCACAAATCTGCCATACGAAGCTAGGAAACTCCAAATCTGAATCGAAACGGTGCCTCAACAAGAACAGAGCCCTAAAGTATCACATACTCTGTACAACAGCCCCAATGACAGTAAGCCAGAACATACAATCCCCAAAGCCTGAATGCCTTTTCCTAGCCACTCAGCCCTTCACCTCAAATCCGAGACCCTCTCTTCGAAACCCTGCACCCTTCTCCATCAATCTGGAACAACAACTGCAGCTTCATGAAAGAACAAGGGATCGAAAACGTAAACCCTCTCCTATCCAACTCTAAATTAAGGTACCCAATGTTTCAGAAACCATAAGAAAGCAGGGAAGGCCGAGACGCGGGAACGGGGGCGTTTTCCTGCAGGTTGCCGACTTCTTTGGGCAACTGCAGCCAAGGCCTTCCCGAAGAAGGGCCTTTATTTAGTTGAGGGGTCGGGTTCCGAGCTTACCTCAGGAGTCCAAAGGATCCAATCATGAGGTACTTGGGTTAGGGACAGTAGCTACGTAGGCTAATATGCGGGAGAGTACTTATACTATGATTTTCAAGGGCTTGGGCCCTTAGGGTTAGGGAATGTAGGACTTGTAACCAGTGATTCAAAGTCTGTGGATTTTGAAAAGATGCGTGCTGGTTGGCAGGAATACCGGTTTTGAGCTGCCCAGACCTTCTACACTGATACACACATGTCTCTGTTTCGTAGGTATCTGTTGATGTTTCTACAGCCTTCAAACAAAAAGCTGGCAGCAAGTTTCTGGAGATTCAGTCGCTCTTGCCCTGCTACGACTCCGAAGCAGCGTTTACCAGTAATTCCTACCTCAGCAGCGCAGCACTCCGAAACTGCACGAAACTCCTAACGGTCCTAACCCCTACGACAAAACCCTAACAAGGGCTCCGGGCCCGGGCCCCCAAGCCCCCAAAAGACGAGTCCTCAGCACCTTCGGGGTAAAAAGCAAGCTAGAAAACGGAGGGGTAGCCTGACTACCCTAAATCCTAAACACCTCTAACTATGGGCCTGTGGCATTGTAGGCCCTCTCGACCTTGAAATCCTCTTCGGGAGGCCTGTTGCAGCGACGGGAAGGATTGAAAGCTTGCAGAATCACGGGGTTGCGGGTCTATGCGGTACCTCATCTGAGCCTCATGATCATCAAAACACCACCAAGTAGGGCCAACTCCTGGTCTTTGTGGGGCCTCCATGGTTAGACTAGGGCTTGGTGGTGTATTACACTCCATATTATTGAAAGGAACCCCGGAGGAATAACCTTGGCAATTAATTAATTCAGGCCTCTATATGATTGAATCTCTTAATACCCTAACCCTTACATAAACCCTAAACCCACCAGACACCCCTCGGGCCCAGGATGGATAGTCGAAGTCTGCATTACTCTGATGTTGCTGCTTCGGAAATCCTATAGTATAACCTCCAACCCTACAGTCCTGAACCCAAGAGTCTGAAAGCGTATACAAGCCCTACAATCGAGAAAGCCTGGAAGAACAAGCGAAACATCCGAATATAGTAACCGTATTTATTAGAATGGAAGTTTGGGATGTTTTGGGTAAATTTATACGAGAATTCTACGGGGACTATAAATATATATATATATATAAGAGAGAGAGAGAGAGAGAGAGATGTGATGAATCCTTGTCCTTTATATTCTGATGGCCGAACTTTTGCCTCGATTCTTGGAACATGCGCCGAGGGCGCCTGAGGTGTTGGGGTACCGATGAGTTTGCAGCAACCTTGGTAAGCTTTGTGTGGGGATCTGAGCCTAGGGTTTAGGGTCCCAACCTTTGAGACTAACCCAAAGCGCTAGTTAAACACTATACCCCTCTGCCAAAATCCAGGGGCACCACCATAATTAGTGGTACTGCCGGTGCTTCTGGCAACGGTTTCGGAAACCACTGCAACTTGAGGGCCGTAGGCTGCCTTCCATTCGTGTCATTGCAGCTATACACGGATACAGCTAGAACTACGTCACTGCAGGGTTCTCGTCGTACAGCTTTCTTGTCTTGAACAGTCTCCAAGAACTTGACCCCCGAGTGCCTCAAGCAGCCGTAGCCAAGAGAAAGCCGGCTGAAACCGTAAGCCACAAGCCAGTTTGATAGAGTACTGACAGGTCCCTTGTAACCCTTTGGCACCCCCCGTGTTGAGCCAGCAAACATAGAACTCTTGGCTCCTACTCCCCTATATAGGGGCCCGAACCCTGAACTCCTAAAAACTCTAAACCCTACACCCTGAACCCCTAATACGACCCTCAACGATCAGACTAGGGTCGGGGGATGCTCCTGTCATGATGGCCAGAAACGGGTCGCAGGCAGTGCTGACTACTGGGGCTAGCGGCTAGGTGAACTTGCAGGCCGCGCCGAGGTTTACAAGTGGTGTTTGGAGTTCAGGGTTGAGGGTTTAGGCATCATGTTGCAATCGTAAGAAGCCTTCATACTACGTCCTGTGAGCCTCTGTTAATCATTCGAGGCACCCACATTATGGAAGCCAAGCCACAGGTATCAGGGTGAGGACGAGAAAGGCGCCGTATCCTTGGGCAAGCTATCACATCATGGGCAGGACATTGGGTCTGCAGAAACTAGGGTACCTGATCTTGAGCCCTTACACGAGGACCCTATTTTAGGGTTCTATATGTGGGTTTCTGAAACTCCCACATGTTTCTCTTGCATTGCTTGACTGGGTCTGTTGGGCAGAGGTTCATGGTTTGACCCGTGTATTCAAAAGATGAACTTCAAAACTCAGTTACTCCCACGTGTCAGGTTTTACATTGCGGCCTAGGCTTTGCGGGCTTTGCGCTCCTGTTGACCCCTTCTACCCGGAAGACCCCAAAGCCCCATGTACCCTTCATCAAACCCTTCCAAGACCCCTTTAAAACCCCTATAAGCGCCCAATACATAGCCTTTATAAAAACGTAAAAGGGCCCAGTGGCTTGGATCGGTGACCTTCTCGCCTTCGGTTTCTTCCTGCGAGTAGGAAACAGATTTCGGGATGACAGCTACCTTGAATCTGAAGTCTCGTGTGCATACATACATATATATATATATGTGTGTATATATATATACACACGCAATATACATCCATCTATCTCGGTGTATGTATGTATGTATATATATATATATACAGTGTGAGTGGCTTTGGGCCCAAAACCGTGCATCGGCCCATCAGCCGATCAGCCAAGCACCCGATCAGCCAATCAAGCCTAAAGCCTAAACCCCTAAACCCGAAACCCTACACCCCTACATCCAAAACCACTAAAGACTAAACCAGCCGACCAGCCACCAGCCATCAGCCGAGCATCCGATCGGCTGATGCGCAGTTTGGAAACCCACTTTCGAGCACAATTCATATGTATGTATGTATATATGTATATATATATATATGTGTGTGTCTGTATATGTATGTATATATATATATACTGCTAGGATTCTGCAGGAACAACAGCTTAAACTGACCACTCTGTCTGCATAAGCCGGGCCAGCTCACATTTTGCTCCTTACTATAGTCTTGCTTGAGATAACCTCCAGGTGCGGGCCTTAATGCTTGGAACAGGGTCTTAGGGGTTTATATTACCGTCGAAGCATAACAAGGAACCCCAAGAGCAATGACATGGGTAATTTTCAATCAAGCTTCTACATTAAAAGATGGTCTTGCCTCACCTCGACCTTAGTACATGCAAAGTGCTGACTTAAAAGGGGGGAGTGTGTTTGGGGCATAAGACGGCTAGAATGGCTAGAAGTAGGGTCCGAGGTTTGAAGCGACAGAACAGGACACTCGATGTCTAGAGGCTTCAGTGGACTCCCCAAACTGGACAAATGAGCCACGGCTCGCACTAAGTGATGTGTCCGAGACACCGGAAAGTTCGGCAAACGCCCATCCTACTTGGCTTTTGAACCTCGCAGGAAGACACGAATATGACACTATGTCCACAAGCCCTGCCTCAAATGCAGCGAGCGCCGCTGAATAGCAAATGCCGTGGATGCGGCTGCAATGGCAATCCTATGTGACGCGATGGGTCTACCATGGCCGTAAGGCCACCCACACAATCAGAGCTAGCCATACACTGGCACGAACAATGCATGCCTGCATGTCAAGGACTGCTAAGGAGCTTCCTGCTCACTAACTGTCTATGGATGTCGTGCCAATAGCACTACAGAGATTCCATTGCAGTCGCTCTTACCACAAGGGTGCTGAGTTTTGGGCTTGCTGCGTTGAGTGCCAAGTCCGGTGGCAAATTGAACGAAAGCAGGACCCAACTGCGAAGTGTATATGCTGCAATGTTGGCTAACTACCGTCTGGAGTTTTAAACGAGGTGGAGTTTAGATTTCTTGGGGGATCGTGGACTCCCTAGCCTGGAAACAGATAGTCATGGCCAAGCCACATTGTGAGTGCGCACCGCCTGTCAAAGTTCCACCCGGCCGCGGTCAAGCTACCGTGATGCAACAGCGAAGCAACGAGATCTCTCCCTCTCTCTCTTTCTCTCTCTGTCCCTATCTCTCTCTCTCTCTCTCATAGGGGACGCCCAAGTCCCCCGGGCTTGAAGCCCATCCCAACATGCTGATCTGGTGTTTGGAGGAGTGAAAAACGAGCGTAGTCGGTGGAGAGGCTGCAGCCTTCAAGTATACGATAACGAAATTCGACTGATGTACGCTTTCCAAGAACACATGCAACTGGCTGGGAGGCTTCGTTTCGTTCAGTTGAAACAGGACCTCTCGTACAGCTATAGAGGATGCAATCTGGCTTCCCCCTCTTACAACTTTGCCCGCTTAATAAGCTTTCTCCCTCCACTCTCCCTGCCTCCCTCCCTCTCTCT